TTTAACACGACGCGCGCGCGCAGTTCAGAGGAGTTTACATTCGTAGCCGCCTGATTGTTGCGGCACCGCGCCATATTTGTTTGCGCGGCGCGTAACGCTCTTTTCGGATGCCATTTGCGCGTGTTTTGCATGGGCGGATCGCCTTGGCGCAGCGATGCTTCGCGCGGCGTGGTTCGGCCGCTTTTGCGCGATGATGCGCCCGTGTGCGCGTGTGTTGTCAGAGCGGCTCTGCGTGACGGCGTGTCCAATAGCGATTACCATGCCGTTAAGTTTGTTCCTCGTGGGCACGCGGGCCCCCCGCCCCTTTTCCCTTCTTCGCGGCACGCCGAATTGTTGGAGTGTCTATAAGTTTGTTTCGTTGGGCGCTTGCGCATGTGATTTTCTTGTGAGCATTGTTCATTTGTTGTCCACCTTTCGCGCGACCTCTTCTGGTTGCTTTCCCCTTCGTCCACTCGCATTATGTTTTGATGGTGTTTTAGTGCGCACGTCTCAAGGTGGAGGGCCCGGTCCGCTCGTGGAGGGCGCGACATTGTTGACAAATCATACGCGTCGCGCGGTTGTGGTAGAGACCACGGCGCGTGCGTCATGGCGATCTGTTCGCGGCAAGTCCCGCGCACCGCGACCGCGCAGCACTCGGCGTGGCGAGTCTTCGAGCACCGCCACGAAAGCCATAACGCGCGACATGTCGTCGCCCATAGCCTTGCAAGGGCCGCAACATGTGACGCGCTCTTCCGCGCCGCTTCGGGGCGCACTCCTTCGTCTACGTCGTCGCCCTCCCCCTTCCCACGCCCCCCATGTTGTCACCCTCCCTTTTTCCATTTCGTTCTCCTTGTCTCATTATTGCGTCTCCTGGGGTTCTCACGTGGCACACATGGACAACATGTGGTATGTCATGGGTTACTGTCGGGTTGTCATGGGGGCCTCCTGGGACACTCTTGAGTCGTATATGGGGTCACCTGGGACATTAGGCGCCCTCTTGGGCCGTCGTGAGTTGCCTGGGGGGTATCTTGGTGCCGTCTTGGGCCGCGTTCGCCTCCATGCTGGTTTTCTTGCTTTGCCTGGGTTGGGTCTTCAGTTACCCCCGACCCCACTAGGTCTGGTACCATACCTCCCTTCCACCTCCAACAGGTCTGGTGGGATGCACCCCTTCCACGTCGACCAGACCTCCCAGCGGGCCCTCCTCCGGCGAGGTGGAGGGGGGCTCCACCAGACTTCCTCTGGTTCTCCTGGAGACCTCCCCCTGATCCCCCCAAGGGCTTGGGGAGGCCTTCCGGAGGCTTCCCTTGGTTTCCACAGGGTGTGGCGAGAGGCTTCCCGCGCCGCGGCCCCTGGGAGCACCAGGCGAGGCCTCCCCCAGGCTTCCGGGACGACCAGGGGAGGTCTCTGGGAGGCTTCCCCTGGTTCACCTGGAAGCCTCCGATGAGAGCTCCCGCAGGGGGGAGGTCTCCTGTGGGAGGCTTTCGGGAGGACCAGGGGAAGCTTCCAGGAGACCTCACCTGGTCCTCCACCAAGTTTCCCCCCAGCGGCCCGGGAGGACCAGGGGAGGTTTCCAGGGGTCCTCCCCTGGTCTCCCCGGAAGTTTCCCGTTGGAGGGAACCCTGCCAGATTTCGAGGTCTGGGGGGGGCTCCCGGACCCTGGTCCTCGGGGGGGATTCCCAGCAGGCTTGCAAGGACCAGAAAAAACTTCTGGGAGACCTCCCAGCCCCCTTTTGGAAGTTTGCGGGAGGCCCCCAAGAGGACCAGGGGAGGTCCCCCGGCGGTTTCCCCCCAGATTCCAGGAGGTCGTCAGGGCACCGCTAGGAGGCTTACTCTTCGGGGCCCTGAGGCCAGTGGATCACCGGATGCAGTGCAGCTACGGTGGCGACGGCAGCAGAGTCGCGTTCAGCCTCGGCGAAACATTTGCCGCGCGTTTCCAAGCTGGGTGGCTGGTTGGGGGCCTCCGACGGCCACGCCGGGACGTTTGAACTTTGGGTCTTTCCGCTCCAAGAAAACATGGTGGACGTAAGGGAACTTCTGGTTCCTTAATAAATGCCCCCCGGGGGGCCTCGATGGTCCCAAAGTGCGAGACATCTGTCGATCCACCAAATTTAATAGGGAATTCCCGGGGTCCCAAGTAAGGTCCTTACTTGGGTGCCTGGCGGTCCCAGAGTTCAGGGCCTTACTTGGGTCCTCGGCGGTCACAGGTCCCACAGGTCCCACGTGTCCCAGATGTCCCACAGGTCCCATAGGTCCCACGGGTCCCGCAGGTCTCGAAGGTCTCGCCGGTCCCGCAGGTCCCGCAGGTCCCGCAGGTCCCACAGGCCGCACAGGTGCCACAGGTGCCACAGGTCCCGGAGGTCCCGCAGGTCCCGCAGGTCCCACAGGTCCCACAGGTCCCTCAGGCCCAACAGATCCCACAGGTCCCAAGGTCTTGCAGGTGTCACAGGTCCCGCAGGTCCCACAGGTCCCACAGGTCGGTCCTACAGGTCTTACAGGTCCCACAGGACCCACAAGTCGCAAAGAAGGTGCCAAAGGTCCCACAGGTCTCGCAGGTCCTACAGGTCCCACGCGTCCCACAGGTCCCAAGGGTCCCACAGGCCTCGCGGGCCCCACAGGTCCCACAGGCCCCACAGGTCCCACATGTTTCACATGTCCCATAGGTTCCGCAGGTTCCGCAGGTCCCGCGTGTCGCGCAGGTCTCGCAGGTCCTGCAGGCCCCGCAGGCCCCGCAGGTCCCGCAGGTCCCACTGGGTCCCACAGGTCCCACAGGTCCTACAGGTCCCACAAGCCCCACAGGTCCCGCAGGCCCCACAGGATCCACAGGGTCCGTATTTCCCACAGGTCTCGCAGGTCGCGCAGGACCCGCCAGTCCCGCATACTCCATAGGCCCCGCAGGCCCCGCAGGTCCCACAGGTCCCACATGCAGGTCCCGCACGTCCCACAGGTTCCGCAGGCCCCACGGGTCTTACAGGTTTTAAAGGTCTCGCAGGTCCCGCATGTCCCGCAATTCCCACAGGTCCCGTAGGTCCCAGAGGACCCATAGGTCCAACAGGTCCCACAGGACCCGCAGGTCCCGCAGGTCCGCAGGTGCCACAGGTCCCACAGGTATGGATGACCCCACAGGTTTCACAGGTTCTCGCAGGTCCACCGGTCGCACATGTCCCGCAGGTCCGCAGCTCTCACAGGTCCCACAGGTTCCGCAGGTCTCCCAGGTCCCTCAGGTCCCACAGGTCCCACAGGCCCCCCGGGTCCCACAGGTCCCGCAGGTCCGACAGGTCCCGCCGCCATCACAGGTCCCACGAGTCCCACAAGTCCCGCAGGTCGCGCAGGTCCCACAAATCCCGCAGGCCCAGCATATCCCACATGTCCCACAAGTCCCACATGCCCCACATGTCCCACAGGTCCTACAAGTCCCGCAAGCCCCGCAGGCCTCGTAGGTCTGGCAAGTCCCGCAGGCCCCGCAAGTCCCAGTCCCCCCAGGTCCCACATGCCCCGAAGGCCCCACAGGTCCCACAGGCCCGATAGGGCTTACAGGTCCTACAAGGGCCACGGGGTCCGCAGGTCCCGCAGGTTCCGCAGGACCCGCAGGTCCCACAGGTTTCGCAGGTCGCGCAGGTCCCGCATGTCCCACACGTCCCACAGGCGACGCATGCCCCACAGGCCCCTCAGGCCCTACAGGTCCCACAGGCCCCACAGGTCCACCCAGCCCCTCCGGTCCCACAGGTCCCACAGGTCCCACATGTCGCGCCGGTCCCGCAGGCCCCGCAAGTTCCGCAGGTCCCACGGGGCCTACAGGTGCCACAGGCGCCACAGGTCCCACTGGTATCGCAGGTCCTGCAGGTCCCACAGGTCCTACGAGTCCCTCAGGTCCTACAGGTCCGACAGGTCAGGCAGGTGTCGCAGGTGGCGCAAGCCCCGCAGGTCCCACAGGTCCCACAGGTCTCGCAGGGACGACAAGTTTTGCAATTTCGAAGGCCCCACAGGTCCCACCAGGCCCACGCGTCCCACAGGTCCCAAGGGTCCCACAGGTCTCGCAGGTCCCTCAGGTCCCACAGCTACCGCAGCCCGCACAGCTCCCACAAGTTCCACAGGGCTCACGCTCCCAACATTTCTCCCAATTCCGGCAGGTTCCACAGGTCCCGCAGGTCCCACAGGTCACCTTTGGTGTTATTAAGATGGTTCCTGGGGTGATGTTTGCAAGGCGAAGGCGCGTGTAATTGCATGCGCTGCGCGCAGTGCAGAGTGAACCGTGAGTGCAAGTGCGAAACGCTGCCATGTAAATTTGGGATTGCGCCCGTCCTGGAATCTTTTTGTGAACTTGCGGTTGCGGTGGTTTCCATCGTGGTCAAAGCACCTGGCCGACGCGCGGCGAGGCTCGGAAGTGGTCGATGATGGGCGACGAGTTCTTCATTTTAAAGGTCGGGGTTGTAGGAGCCAAAATCTCGAGGCCCGCTCTCGACGGAAAGTTCGACTCGATCAAGATTCACCGAGAAGTTGAAATCCCGGGTAATGACGAGATGCTGTCGCGCAGCACCCTGAAGCGTTGCAACCCCCGCTAAGAGCTCTAGATTATACTTGTTGGGGCCCACCCCATCGGCCAGGTAGATTGAGGCTAGGTTTAGCGGGCGGCGCGCTGGAAGTTCGCGTGAGACTGCTGCGCAACGTGACTGTGCGACCCCTGTAGGCAATCAGACTCTAGATGCTCCAAAATCGTGCCCGCCGCGAATCAAAATGCTTGTACCTTGCACAGGGTAGCCTTTCTCGCTGAGCACGGCTGGGGAGATCATGGCTCGCCGTCTTTCCCGCTCACACCACTGAATGATGCAGGGCACAGCGTCCTTCGACACTCGCACCTTTTTGCAGCAGGCGGTGCCCACCGCCTCGGCTGCCTTCGATTTCAGAGACTCCCTGATAGATCTCCATCAGCTTCCATTGGTCGTGGCGAACCTGATCGCGTTGCCCACGCGGTTGGTCCTCCTTCCCTTGCCCTTGCTGGCCGCGCAGAGGGCCTGCGTCTGCTGCTATGGCGTGGGCGAGACGTCCTGGCCGCGCAGGTGGAGCGCCTGGTCAACTGCCTCCCCCGCGCGCTTCACGCTCTGGGCTCGCTTCTCCGCGCCGGAGATCTTCTCCTCTATGGCGGCGGTCTCGGCGTCGAAGGCGGCGGCCTCGGCCGCGCTGATGCCGCCCTCCCCCGCGGCCTCGTGGCGGCGCGCTGGGCGGGGGGCGCCGCCGCCTCGGCGGCTCCGCGCTCGCCTGGCCAGGCTGCGTGGCCTGCTGCGGCGGCGCCTGGGCGGGCGCGCTCCAGGCCAGCTGCCGCTCCTCGTGCAGCTGGGCCGAGAGCTGCCGGATGGCCGCCCGGGCCTCGCTCGAGGGGGCGAGCCCGGGCGGGGGCTGATTTTGGATGGAAGACTCCGCCGACGGGGTGGCGGCGATGGCATGCTTTTTCGGGGCCTGATCGACCGCCGTCTGGTGCTGGGTCTCTAACTGCTTGGTCTCGGCAACCAGGCCCGGAACCAGCTTGATCAAATTTTCATAATCGTCGGCCAAGTTCACTATCGCCTCGCACGCTTTTGTCACACTCAGACTGGGCATTATGCAGCTTCTTCTCTTCTTGCTGACCTCGAGCTAGTCGCGCAAGGACTTCCGCTGCTGGTCCCGGGGTTTGGATGCTAAGGTAGATGCTTTCATTGCTTTCAACTCGCCGACGGCCCGCAGGTAGCGCGGATCCGAGGTGCCTTCCGTCTTTTTCCAGAACTGGACCGCGGCCGTGCACACAGCCACTGGATCACGCTCTGGTACCTCGGGCGCGCGAGCTCCTGCAGTTCCTGCGGGGTGGCTCGTCAGCGACGGGCTGCATCGCATGAATGCCTGCGCCACCTCCCTGGAGTACCGTTGTTGCCATCGCGCTTTGGCGGCTGGTTGGTCGAGGTGGTGGGTTCCAACCTTCGACCGATGAAGGACTGGCCGCGCGCGCCGCAGAACTTGAACGGCTTGCCAACCCACGTCCAGCCTTTGCACTTCACCGTGTGGCAACAAATGTACCTGCGGGAGCTAATGCCGAGGCTGCGGCAGTCGTTCCTGCTGCCACCCATGGCTGAATGCAGACCGGACTTCCGAACGGATCTGATCGTCTGGGCTGCGCTTGGCGGGCGCGAAACAAACTTGCAGCAGACTTGGGCCCTATCTCCTTGAACCTGATCAAGGAGGCAAGCTTGAGCCAGGAGGCGGAGCAGGAGGAGGGGGAGGAGGAGGAGGAGGAGGAGGAGGAGACAGCGGCGGAGGCGGACTGCGCGGAGGAGGAGGAGGACGACGAATATGATGATGATGATGATGATGATGATGATGATGATGATCATGATGATGATGATGATGGTGATGGTGATGGTGATGGTGATGGTGATGGTGATGGTGATGGTGATGGTGATGGTGATGGTGATGATGAGGATGAGGATGATGAGGATGAGGAGGCTGATGAGGATGATGAGGATGACGATGATATTGATGTTGATGTTGATGATGATGATGTTGATGGTGCTGATGATGTTGATGCTGATGTTGATGCTGATGCTGATGCTGCTGATGATGATGATGAGGATGAGGATGAGGATGATGATGAGGATGATGAGTGTGATGATGATGCTGATAATGCTGATGCTGCTGATGCTGATGCTGATGATGATGATAAGGAGGAGGAGGAGGCGGAGTATAAGAGGCGCAGGAGGAGACCAACATGTGTGCGGAGGGGGGAGGAATGGATGTGCGTAATTAACAGAAGAGAGAGGGAGAGAAAGAGAGAGAGAGAGAGAGAGCCAGAAAAGAAAGACATACATAACGATAACACAGAGAGAGAGAGAGAGAGCGAGAGAGAGAGACGGATATGTATGTATCCTGAGAGCCAAAGGGCTGGTGGTTGCCCAGACCACGCCCTAGCCAAGAGAGTCGCCTTCCCCATGGGCTGGGTGCCTGCGTAGTTCCTCATCCGCCCTGCCTCGCCTGTGCACGCAGAATTGTCTTAATTATTTGCAGAGAAGGACTTGCTCATGTGGCGGGGCGGGCCTCGGTGCGCGTTGTTGCGCCGCGTGGAAGTCCAGTGAGCGAGCAGAGTCGCCTCACTCTTGCCGGCAGGTTGTCCATCGGCGACTTTGTTATATTTGTGATATCCATATGTTTCGGGATGATGGTCATGGGCCTGCTGACCATGCTCATGTCGATACACCTTCCCCTGGCCACGAAGAACCTGACGACGGTGGAGGATCGAGCGGGGCGAGGAGCAGGAGGAAGAGGACGAGGAGGAGGAGGACGAGGAGGAACACCTGGGGAGAGGGAATAGGATGATGATAAGGAGCGGCCCATGCAGCTGTTGTTGTTGATGGTGATGATGATGATTATGCTGATTGCGGTGATGAGGACGATGACGCTGATTTTGATGACGATGCTGATGATGATGGTGATACTCCTGCTGAGTACGATTACGAATTGTGTTATGACGATGGTGATGGAGATGGAGATGGCGATGTTGATGATGATGCTGCTGATGGTGACCGATGATTGCGATGGTGATGGTGCTGATGATGATGATGATGATGATGATGATGATGATGATGATGATGCTGATCATGACGATGACGGCAACGATGGTGATGCTGAGGAGGAGGAGGAGGAGGACGATGGGGATGAGGATGGCGTTGACGTTGACGACGACGATGACGATGACGATGACGACGGCAACGATGCTGATGTTGATGATGATGCTGATGGTGATGATGATGCTGATGATGATGATGGTGGTGATGGTGATGGTGATGATGCTGATGACGGTGACGATGCTGCGTGTGATGACGATGATGATGATGATGATGATGATGCTGATGCTGATGCTGATGCTGATGCTGGTGTTGATGGTGGTGCTGATGAATATTATGATGCTGATGATTTTGATGCTGCTGATGATGGTGATGCACATGATGATTATCCTGGCTATGATGATACTGATGCTGCTGCTCATGGTGACGCTGATGCCAGGTATGATGATGATGATGATGATGCTGATGATGATGATGAGGACAATGATGCTGACGACGATTACTGCTATCGTGGGACTGATGGTTCTGATGCTGATGGTGCTGATGATGATGATGATGATGACGATAAGGATGCTGCCGCTGATGAGGATGATTCCGATGCTGATGCTGCTGATGATGAAGATGATGATCAAGATGATCATTTTGGTGAAGCTGTTGATTATGAGGACGATGAGGAGGATCAGGAGGGGGGCAGGAGGAGGAGGAGAAGGAGGAAGAGGATGAGGAGAACTGTGAGGACGACGACGACAATCAGGATGGTAATGATAGCGGTGATAATGCTGATGAAGATGTCATGATGATGATGGCGATGATAGTGCCGTTTATGACGGCAATGATGAGAATGATGATGATGCTGATGATGATGATGACGATGGTGATGGTTGTTGATGATGGGTGATGATGGTGCTGATGATGATGCTGATGGTTATGATGATGATGCTGATGATGCTGATGCTGATGCTGATGCTGATGCTGATGCTGATGGTGGTGGTGATTGTGATAAGGAGGAGGGGCAGTACTAGAAGGTGGAGGAGGAGGGGAGTGAGTAAAGGCAGGCGGCGGCGGGGTCAAATAAGTAAACCGGCGAAGGCGGGGGATCTGTTGACGTTAGGCGGAGGATGCTTGAAAGAGACGAGGAGGATGCGTGAGGCTCGATGGAGAGGGATTGGAAGGATGATTTGACGAATCTGATGATGATGGTGATGATTATGTTGATGCTGGCGATGATGACGCTGCTGATGATGACGATGCTGATATTGCTGATGATGCTGATGATGAGGATGAGGATGAGGATGATGATGCTGATGCTGATGATGGTGTTGATGATGCTGTTGCCGAGGATGAGGAGAAGGATTACGCTTTCGGTGGCATTGATACTGATGACGATGCTGATGCTACTGATGATAGATGCTAAGGGTAATGATACTGATGATCATGTTTATGATGTTGATGGTGATGGTGATGATGACCACGATCATGCTGATGATGCTGTTGGCGATGAGGATGAATTATACTATTGTTGATGATGGTGGTGATGTAGATGATGATGCGCCTGCTGCTGTGGCTGATGTTGATGATGATGATGTTGATGACTATGACGATGAGGTTGTTGCTGTTGTCAAAGACGATGCTGGTAATGATTATTGAGATCGTGCTGATGACGCGTTGCTGTTGCTGGTAATGGTGATGCAAGTGATGCTGAAGATGGTGATTATGCTGCTGATTATGATGATGCTGACGACGACGATGCTGATGATGATACTGATGATGATGATGATGATGATGATGCTGATGATGATGCTGATGATTATCATCATCATGCTGCTGGTGATGACGATGCTGATGTTGGTGACGATGATGCCGGTGGTGGTGATGACGATGATACTGATAATGGTGCTGTTGATGGCGATGATGATGCTGGTGCTGATGCTGCTGCTGCTGCTGATGATGTTGTTGATGTTGATGATGGTGATGATGATGATGATGATGATGATGATGGTTATCATGCCGACGACCGCGACAAGGAGGAGGAAGTTGAGGAGGAGGAATAGGAGGAGGAGGAGGAGGAGGGAGGATGGCCTTGGGCTGGTCTTGGGCCGCCTTTGTACAGTCTTGAGCTAGCAATGGGCCTTCTTGACGCCGTCGGGGCCAGTCTTGGGCCATCGTCTTGGTTCCCTCGGAGTTCGTTCAGCGACTGCTGTGAAGCCGCCTGGGTCGGCCCGAGAGCCAGGGGGCGAAGGCAGAAGGGAGGGAGAAAAGGAGCAAAAGCCATCCTTGCTCCTTGCCTTCCTCGATCCTCTCGTCATCATCCTCACCCTGCTTCTCGTGCTACAACACCTTCCTCCTCTCCTTCCCTCGTCTCATCTTCGTCCTTCTCGCTTCTCCCTTTTATATCCTCTCTCCTCCCTCCAGTCTCCATCCCCCCCTCGCTCCCTCGCTCGTCTGCCGCCGTCCCTCCTTACTCTTCTTCCTTTCCACCTCTTCTCCCACCTCGTCATCGTCGTCGTACTTCTCCTCCTCATCCGCCTCCTCCTAGGTACTAGACGAATGGGATCTTCTTAGCCCTGGCGTTTTGTGGAGATGTGCCAAGAATACAGGCATTCATTTCTCTTTCTGGGCGACAGTACGTCCACGGAGTATGGCTCTCCAGACGACGGGCGGTCTTCCCATTCCCTGGCACGCAACCCGGAGTTTCTCCACTCCTGGCAGGAGTGGCGATTCGCGACACCCGCCGAACACGCGGGCGGCTCAGACTGTTTCACCTCCCGCTATCGACGGACATCGAGGGGGCTTTGACATGAACGACTCGGGACTGCGCAGTTACGCTTCAAATGCGCCTAATTTCGTAATCTACACGGCTGTTGGCCAGCGTTGCAGACGATCCATGCAGGACCCCCGCTTACGAAGTGGTAGTTCGGGGTATCGGATTCATTGCGCGATGTTTCAAACTGTTGCTGCACAGCGGCTCAACCACCAACACCCTAGCCATTATCCTCGGTGATTTTTACC